TTTGTCATAGTTGCCACTCTTGGCAACTATTTTTTATAATTTTGGGTTGTTATCAGGACCCTGATGGATGACATTGACACTGACGCTGCTGCCCATCTCCGGGTTTGGTTCCCTCTGACACTTCTTACGACACCCACGGGATGATCTTCTTACACCGTAATCGGTATTCGTATACCGCCACTACACGGTCAGGGATGAGCTAAACGCCCGTCGTAAGTGTTTCCGTACGCGAGCAACCTGTGCTCGAAAATTCTGATTAACCACGTGCTCAGCGGTAAAAACACGCTGAGGAAATCTTCTTATCTGAAGAATAAAATATTCAGAAGACATGTATATCTGCCAACAAGCGCTGACAAAGCAAGGCGGACTAAATGCTCAAAATGCTCTCAGAAATGAGAGTAAGCCTCCGTCAAGTTGGGTGTAACTTTAATACTTTTTTTGTAAAAGTAGCCATTGTAAAAAAAAACTTTATTAATATTTCTATTAAATTTGTACAACATGGCCCATTTCTGTAATGTGTGCTGAAAGCCAATCGGTAGGGTTTTTGTTACTTGTATAGGATTTGCACGTATTTTAAATCAGAATGAAGAAAACAGTACTTACTTGAAACATGTTTCAAATGTTTAATAGGTTATGTTATTGAAATAATACTAGTTTTTATGGATTTTATAGCGTATATTTAAGTATAAATACCCGACGTTTCGAGCGCTTTACAGCACCCATAGTCACTAGCTGATGTGAAGAATCGACGCTCCGGGAAGTCTGCAGTCTGTGAACACGTACAGGATCGCCCCCGTCACTACATCAGATTTGATAGACCACAAATCCTTGGTAAAGAACACCGATTCCTCCCAAGGATGATCCGTGAGGCTATTGAAATCAAAAAACATCCTAATTTCAATAGAGAAGATGGCTGGGTGCTACAAGTACATTTGGGTACAGGATGGAAAAATACTCATAAGAAAGAGTGATGAACAGAAGAAAATAATGTCAATTAGGAGTGAACGTGATATTGAAAAATATATAGAAAACAATTTAAATACGGCAACTAGCTAGATGTTGTTGTTGGTCTCACTAGCCTCACGCACACTTAGTGCGAAGTAAACACTGCGAGCTCAATAACATCAAGTAAAAGGTGATCGTTTCGATGCAATTATCACACTGGAATGTTAATATACAAGATTTAAAACAGCGAATTCCTGGGTTCGGAGTATATCTTGCAACAACAAATATTTACACATATTACACATAAATATTCGGTCGATAAGAAAAAACTTTAATGAATTGCTAGTGTTTGTAAAAAAATGCTCTGAGGAGTTAGCATTACTAGTGGTGACAGAGGCAAACATTAACAACAATGAGCTATCATTATACCACAAGGAGGGGTACAATCTATTTACAAACACGAGGGAGACTAAAAGAGGAGGGGGTGTGATTATTTACGCTAAGGAGTATCTTAGTTTCAATGCACACAAAACCCTAACGAGTTCACTGGAAGGACTTTATGGTAAACTCACTGTTGACCACTCTATTCTTAATATAATTGCAGTCTACAGACTACCAAAAACGAATAGGTCGTTATTCGTTGATGAAATGGAGCAGATAATTATGAAGATCCCAGCGAACGAGGATATTATCATATTAGGTGACGTCAACATAAACCTGTTAGGAGTGAGTGAAAATCAACTGGTGTCAAAATATAAAGACTGCCTGTGTGGACTAGGCCTACAATGCGTAATACCGGTTACGGAGGTGACGCGAGAGGTTATCGTAGCGGGTGTAAGAGAAGCGTCGTGTATCGATCATGTTTTGGTGCGAGCAAAACAGCTGCGGGACTGCTACTCGTTCATCATTGAATGCTCCATGTCGGATCATCATGTGGTGAGAATCTCGGTGCCGTGTAAACATGTGACGCAACACTGCACTGAAGGCGCGGACTCGGACACTCGGTTTGTAACTAAGCAGATCACTGATTATGATTGGTCTCAACTGTTGTTCATTGATTGTCCGTTAAAGTTGTATTGTAAGCTGCAAAATACTTTCAATGATATTTATAAAAATAGTAAGACTGTAATGCCAAAGATTAAAAAACGGGATACACAATCGTGGATAAGCAGAGATTTAAATAAAATGATAATGCGTAGGGATAAGTTATTTAGGGATTGGAAAGAAACACCAAACAATAATACGAAAAGACTCGAATATACACGTTTTAGAAATAAGGTAAACAAATTATCATTTAAAGTAAAAAAATAGGTTTCGGCAGGTAGAAATCAAGAAATGTAATGGAGACCTAAAAAAATCTGGGACAAAACGGACAGACTGAATGGCAGAAATTTAAAAAAAAATGGTTATACATATTTTAATGGAATGCAAATATCCCCAGCTAAATAAAACGCAGTATATATATATATATATATATATATATATATATATATATATATATATATATATATATATATATATATATATATATATAAGCGGTGTTGGTGTTGCGACGTGAGAAGCTTTATTTCGCATCGGTTTTTAGTTTATCGAGCTACATGGCCGGTCCAGTGCCGGTCAGGTGAGGTTCTACTACGGATACATCTTTATTAAGTATTTATTAAACAAAATCTTCGAGTGTTCCTGCCTGCAGTTCCATCTTCGCCTCTTAAGCTTTCTTATACGCTCAACAATGAAGGACCACGTCTCAGATATCGATTTTGGTCGAGATTTTGTTGAAAAACAAGAAAAATAACGAGTTGTCCTATTTTTCGTATAGTAGCTGTAAAAATCAAGCACACAGTCCACTTGATTGTTTCATTTTTTTAATAAAATAAGGCTGACAAAACTAATATAGTCCACATGATGATTAGTGGATGCTGGGGCCTACAAATAACCACATTACAAATTAAAATCTCGATGCGTTGTAAGCCTATGGACTAAGATGGAATTATACGTTGATATTTCGTGACAGCTTGGTCCCTCCCATGTCGAGCAAAACTCCTAGTAGTAAACCATAACGTTTATTTTGAATTCATAATATGTTGACGACGGTTAATTAATAATAAAAATGTTTCTTACATGCACACCGGCTATAACGGCTTGAGTTTTTTGACTGAAACAAATCGTTAGAAAATCAAAATGTTTTTTCACTATAAAAATCGGGAATATACATTTACCGTTGTAGATTTTTTTTATTTTGCGTACGCATATTGTGAGGAGCATTATTTTTCGATCGACGGCTTTGTTGAATATGCATTCAAGCATAAATATTCATTAGTACAGACGATGTATTTCAAACGATAGGTTTTTAAATTGTGTATTGGACATAATTTAAAAAATACACTGAAAGCAATAATGTAACCGATTTTTTTTAAATTATTTCTTAATGCTTAGTAAATAGTTACGTAACAGTTTTGAGAAATGTGCAACATTATCACCAATCAAAGAATAAAAGTTTCACGTAAAAAGGTAGAGATTGAAATTAATAGAATAATTATCTTATACTAAATGATTTCGTTCTGAGTTAATATGTTTAAAAAAATAGGTGAAAATAGAATAATTTTCTTCTATAGCATCTATTAATCGTTTTAATAAATAATATATTATAATAATAATACCATATTCAATTTATTTAATATACTTAACATACATACACGTTGGCCTGTGGTAGGTTAGGGATTAAGCACTCGCTGAAATTTAACAACAAACGAGCCAACTTTGCAAATTTTACAACAAGCGAGTCAAATTAGATAAATTAAAATCGTTTTAAAACTTATATATTTAGGTAATACATACATACATACACGTTGGCCTGTGGTAGGTTAGGGATTAAGCACTCGCTGTAAATTTTACAACAAGCGAGCCAACTTTCGGAGTTATTACGTATCTTGTAGAAGGCTAGCGATAGTAAAAATAAAAACTTATAAATCCTGCATGTTAACCCTCCTATCGAAGATGACTTCAATATCAGAGGTCTAAAAACAACATGCATGCAATGCAAATGCAACAACTCACACACACACACGCACACACACACACACACACACACACACACACACACACACACGCACACACGCACACGCACACGCACACGCACAAGCACACGCACACGCACACGCACACGTGCATACGCGCACACGCGCACACGTGTACACGCGCACACGTGCACACGCGCAACGCGCACACGCGCACACGCGCACACGCGCACACGCACACACGCACACACGCATACACGCACACACGAACACACGCACACATGCACACACGCACACGCACACACACGCGCACACTCGCGCACACGCGCGAACACACGCGCGCACGCACACACACACACACCCACGCACACACATACACACACACACTCTCTCTCTCTCTCAAACACACACACACACACACTCACACACACACACACACACACACACACAACACATTTTAAATTTTATTCAAATGGGCACAACAGTTTAAATTGTTGTCGTATTTCATTGTCGTCGCGTCTGTCAGACAGTTAACTGTGTGTTTGTGCTCTGTGATCTTAATTTACGAGTTCATAATTTAAGTGTTTCTTTTTTTGGAATTATTTTGCATTTTTCATACAATATAGACATACAACGTGTTTCCTTAAGTTTTGCTGTGACTTATTCAAGGAAAGTTAAAGCAATATTAGCACAATATTACAACATATATCAACAATATTAAGAAAAGAGCGAGGGTAAAAAGTCATCGACCCGGTAGGTGGCATCTTCACGGTTACGCGCTATACTTAACCGTGAAAGTCGTGTGCACCATTTTCATAGTATTATCGCTGATAAACGCGCTACTAACACCACAAAATTGTACTTTTTTCGAGTCTGTAAATTAAAGCAGTATAGTGAAGTGCCCTGGTTGCTTGAAGCCTATTAGAAAGTACCGGTATTAGTAAATGTACCTCTACTGAATGTGAAAAAAATTTTTTGCTCAGTGTGTATAAATGCTCCAATAGTCACTGCTGAGCGGAAGATTTGGAAATGTTCCGAATGCAGTGCCGCGCAAAAAAAGGTGGGGATAACAGTTTTACTCCAGTTCGAGGTGGTTCTGAAAATGTTACCACATGTAAAAAGCAGGACTCTGTGGGGTCTGAGATGACCCAACTCACTGAACAGCTGCGCCTCCTTAACAGTGAATTGTGCTCCGTTAAAACGAAATTAAATGACCTGACCCAATCAATTTCTTATACAAACGAGCGAATGGACGATATTATGGGTATTCTCGCAACCACTAATGAGAAAATAAAATACTTAGAAAAACGTGATGAAGACGTCAAAAATTTGCAGGTTACAGTGTCACAACTGCAAAATGAACTAAAAATACAAGCTCAACAGAATATGAGTAATGAAGTAGAAATTGTAGGAATTCCTGAAAACTTGGGTGAAAATCTGAATCATACAATACTTGTAGCAGCAACGAAACTGGGAGTTGACCTAGAAGATAAAGACTTTGATTGGGTAACTCGTGTCATGCCGACCACCGAAAACCGTTGCTCTACCAGAAGATAGCGGTAATATGCCGCGGCCAGTGGTCGTTAAATTTCTGCGTCGATCTAAACGGGATCAAATCCTTAAAGCTGCAAAGTTAAGAAGAAACATAAACAGTTCTGACCTGGAGGTAGCTGGTCTAACCCGGAAAGTTTATTTTAATGAAAGGCTTACCAAAGAAAACCGAGTGTTATTTTGAGACACTAGACAAAGGTCCAAGCAACACGGATACACATTCTATTGATGTAATCAAGGCTTTATTTACGTCAGGCAACGTGAAGGTAAATCTGCTCAGCTTATTCAATCGCACAAGGATCTTGACCGTCTGCTTCCACCCACTTCCACAGTTTAGAGTATATAATGATAAACGTAATGATCTACATAATTATGAAAGACCAAGGATTGATGAAGTTTACTTAATGCAAGCTACCTTATATGAGTTTGTTATTGCTAAAAATGTATGTATGTATAACTGTAAACCCTTTTGTTATTTTGATATTATTTTAAATTTCACTTTTTACAAGTCCTTATTTTTGTTTCCTAAAGTAAAGAAACCAAGTTTTTTAAGTGTAAAAATACCGGTTTTCGGATAAAATTCAACTACGAAAATGATTGTGACTGAAAACTGAAAACCTGGGCGTTGAATTAGACTCAATGCAGGTTAAGTGTGAAATTACAAAAGATATATGTGATTGTAAACATGTCATCACTCCGGAATTTCCTTTAAGCAATTTTGTCTCAATATCGTTTAGAAATTTCCACGGATATCATAATTCTGACCGAATGTTGGCTCTACGATGGTATAATAATTCCGCAAATACCTGGATATAACGCTTTTAAAACGCATAGGCACTTAAATCAAAATAGCGGGGTTGTCGTATACCTGAGTGATATATGGCATGCCACAGTTTCGGAACTATGCCTTGATGAAGCCGATTGCCTATTTGTTCAAATACCCGAAAAGTTAAAAATATATCGTTCACCATCTTTTAAAAAAAATTCTGGAAAAATTTCTAGCATCCCTTGAAATGCACATTAATAAAATAAATAGTCTTCCCTACATCGTTGCTGGCGACATAAACATAAATATAATGAAAAATATATATAATCCACAAATCTTAGAGTATCAGTGCTTTATGGCCGAACACGGATTCACTCCAGCCATAGTATATCCAACTAGCAAGGCTGCTTGCCTTGATCACATATACGTCAGAAACTTGGATAGTTACCAAGCACTACATGGCATTGTATGCCAGTGTGACATTACAGACCACTTTCCAGTTATGCTTGGTTTGAACTCCTAAAAATTTAAGCCTCCTAGACCTACTCGTTTCACACCTAAAAGGGATTTTAATGCCATAAAAGATAACCTTAAAAACATAGACTGGTCTATTCTAAGCAGTATATCTGATGTAAATATAGCTAATGAAATATTCACAAAACAAATTACAGATGTCCTAAGCAAACATACAAAAGAAGTTAAAATTAGTAGAGTCAAGTATAACATAAAACCTTGGATAACTCCAGGTTTAATTCGTTGTATGCGCGTCCGTGATCGTCTGCATCTTCAATCTCGGAGTGATTCGGAAAATAAAACCTTTAAAAAAATATATACCCGTTATCAAAATTTCTTTATAGATTTATTACGTAAGGTTAAAACTGAATATGAAAATAAAATTCTTATTGAAAACAAAAATAACCCGAAAAACATGTGGAAGTCAATCAAAAATATCTGTCACCTTCAACATAATAAAAATGAACCCAAAGAATTGTTAAGACTAGATGGTCTAAATGTGCAAGAATCAATCGACTTCACAAATAATCATTTTTCTTCTGCTGGTAAAAAGCTCCCAGAAAATATTCTCTCTCATATGAAGCTAAATGAGGCTGATCTGGTAAGGTCCGTTCGAACTCCAAATCCACAAATGAATTTGTTTTTCATATATCCCACCGATCATGAAAAAATTGGAAAACTTATATGTCAGTTGCAAGATAATAAGGCACCGGGTATAGACGGAGTTAGCAACGCGCTTGTAAAATTTATCAAACACGAAATTATGACTCCGCTTGCGTACATTTTTATCCTCAGTCTTTCAAGCGGTATCTTTCCAGATAGTTGGAAAACCGCATCGATTTGCCCAATTTATAAAAAGGACCTAAAAATTCTGTTAACAACTATAGACCCATCTCGCTTTTAGTTGTATTTTCAAAATTACTTGAAAAACTAGTAAATAAACGCCTTGTGAATTATCTGAAGAAATGCAACTGTATCTCTCCAAAACAATTTGGTTTTCGTAAGGGTAAAATACCGAAGACGCGGTAAACCTACTAACGACCTCTCTGTTTGCGCATCTTGATAGAAAAAATCCTGTATTGGGATATTTCTGCACCTATCCAAGGCTTTCGATACCATATCTATTTCTATTCTCTTTAAAAAACTAGAAAACACAGGTATTCGAGGGGTGGCCTTGGAGTGGTTTAAAAGCTACTTAACAAATCTCAAACAGTGCATAAAAATTGGTAAGTCTATCAGTAGCTTACAAAATGTGAGTTTTGGAGTTCCACAGGGTAGCATTTTGGGACCTACATTATTTATCTTATATATTAATGACATCCATGATGTAACACTTGAAAATGCTGGCATCGTATGCTATGCCGATGACACCGCGGTCGCTTTTCACGGACTCTCATGGAAATCTGTTTGTCCTATCGCTGAGCGATATTTGGAGATTCTCTGTGGCTACGGAATAATTTACTAACATTAAACTCAAAAATGACGATGTACGTATGTTTTCAAAAAATAAATGCATCCTGTCCGAAGTTCGATTTGAATATAAAAATTCATAAAGAGTCATGCGATATAAATTCGCGCTGTTCATGTGAGTCTCTTATGCAGGTTAAAGTTATAAAATATCTCGTTGTACTTGTTGACGAAAATTTGGGATTTAAATCGCACATAGAAGCTCTTTTAAACCGAATCAGAAGGATTATCCATATAACGAGAAAGCTATATTATATAACAAATAAGGCAATATTAAAGTCTGTGTATTACGCCCTTTGTCAATCGCTCATAGCTTACTGCATCACATGTTGGGGATGTGCATCCAAAACATATTTAGTACAGATTGAGAAAGCACAACGGGCAGTTTTAAAGGCAATGCTAGGAAAACCGTACAGATACCCCACTGTAAGTGTATACGAAGATGCCGGAGTACTTACTGTACGTCAACTCTTTGTGCTGAATACGTCTTTAGCAGTACATAAATACATATTATCTTCAAATAACCACAAACTACTGACAAATCGCAGGGTATATAAATTATCTATACCTTCTGTCAATACAAAATTTGCCCAACGTTTAGGCGACGTTATCAAAAGACAAATTTATAATAAAGTCGTCAAACACTGTAATATTATAAATAAAAAAAGACGTGTGGCACTCGGGGACTGCCGCAGTGAAGCTATTGCACAGCATTTTTTATCAACCTATGCAATTATAATTATTTATTTATGCAGTTAAGTCTTTGATATTAAATCAAGTTACACTTTTTGAGCGTGGTGACCGATAAGAAAACAATTTTTTTCTCTTATTGTATAAAAGAGAAGTTAATATTGTTTAAAATTTTTTTAATATCTTACAATACATGTAGGTTATTCAGGAATTTTTATCATTCAGTTAGCAGCTAGTGTACACGCATACGACTAGTCGCACGCACACAAACACCGTGCCGAAGTCTGCCGAATTAGTCCGGTTAATCGAGTATATATATATACACATTGAGAATCTAAATTGAGAATTTAAACTATACGCGTGTGTGTGTTTGTGTGTATGTAAAGAGGGCTACTTTTAATATCGCTCATTTTAATATCAAAAATTTAGGTTATCTTTATAGCAGTATTATATTTTCAATTCAAAATTAGTACTGCATTTGTGATAATAATAAAATGTAGGTATGTATATAGAGTACTCAATCATTTTCTTTCACTATTTTTTCATGACTTTCTTCATTAAGGTGGCACAAGTCCCGGGCTCGAACTCATTGGTGGGCGCGGCCAAAAAGCACGTTGTCTCACCTGGCATCGTGCCCGACAGAGATAGTATCAGTGAAGAGCAGTTAGAACGCACGTCTTGTTCGTACGGCGTTCCGAACCGTTAGAACAAAAACGAAGTTACACGAACACGATGCACACATACATACCACCCTATTCTGTGCCGCTCGACGCTTGCTGAGAAATCAGCAGTACCTACCTACAAACTCGTACTAAATTATTAGGTGCTGCGTTATCGCTTTATACTATACCTCTATGGCTCTATAGATACCTAATATAGATTGCTTATTTTATTATGATTCGTTTTCCCCGGGTGGTCATGCAGCGATCACTCAAGAGTTCACGACGCCGAAGCATGAACTGGAACAGTCATCGCAGTTTATATCCGTACTAGCTGTTGCCAGCGGCTTCAAATGCGTGAACTCGAAAATTATCCCACAGGAACGAAATACCTGAATAAACGGTATCAAATGTGTTATTCCAGACCAGGTATAACCTATCTCTGAGCTAAATATCATCCAGATCCCTTCAGCTGTGATTGAGTAACATACATCTATCCATCCAAACTTTCGCATTTATAATATTTAGATAATAATTGTAATTAGTTCTGCCTACCTATAAATTGTCTTCAAAAATACTTGCATGTCTTCTTACTTTGTTTTATATACACACAATATCACTAGATGTAAACACATGTTTTTATGAAGACAAGTGACCCGTCAAGACTGTTGCCTTAGTACCGACGTACTTAGGCAGGGAGGTAGGCAGTTTAGATTTTAGTTTCCACGACGCAGCGACAGTTTGCCAAATTTTGTTGTATAGGTTGTGGGTATCTAGGTAATAACAGTAGGTAGACTACCTATCCACTGTCCACGCCGCGCAAGTGATTCTCGTCCCACCTTTCCGCGCAGTAACTTTTTTTTACGACCGCGCAAGACTGTCGCAACAAAAACGATTACTACCGAAAAACT